CTGGCTCCTAGATTCAAAGAAAATGTGTTGAGTCCTGACCTACAGCACCTTCCTCTATCTCACTGCTTGTACTAAGTATCAAAATAAAAAAGAAACAAATCCTTTGGTGCAGGTAGAGAACCATTAGTATCAATGTCCTCAGTTCCGGATAGCCCTTTGTAATATCTATATTGCCAAAACCATTTCTATTTTCTCCAATGCACCATTATATGCAACAGTCACTATTCTAATATGGCTGCTACTTAGAAGAACATTGCTTAGTGCCCCTGATGAGGATGATTGGTTGGCTCACAGTACAGGGTCTTTACATACATCTGGTTTAGAACATAGTGACTAGAATAAACTGCAATTCAAAATGCATAGTTATGGTTTGCTACAGAGAGCTTTGCGCTACATTAAAAAACAATTCTATTCAAGAGCAAGCTTGGTGACACCATTTCTAACTCCTAGTAGATTCTGCAGAGGAATATAGGAAGGCTGCACTCCAGAGAGGAAAGAGGAAGCTCAGCTCATAGCAATGCTCTGGGTGTCAGACATTGAGGGAAAGTCTCATTCTGAATGGAGACACAAATAGGAATGCATTTAAAAAAAAAATAACCTTCCATGTTCTATTCAAAACAAAGAGTTTACCCTTACCATGTACAATCTAGTGATTGGTAAAATAATGTCATTTTTAAAGCCCAAATGACCTTTCAGTTGAAGTCATCTAAATACATTCAAGGGGTAGCTAAACGGAAGGTGTGCCAAGTCTTAGTTTGTTTTCTTTTTAAAAACAGCCACAGCCAGAGTAGAAAAGCCTGTCCCCTGCCAGCATGCTGCAGAGCTGGAGCCTTGCTCTCTGTGGGGAAGCAGTGGTCTCTCTGCAAAGGTCAAACACCACAACCCCCCAAGATCAGCTTAGGTCTGAAATGACTGCTTCTTCCTCACCACCCTCCTTTTATAAATGCACAAGAATAAGTATCTACTGAGTGTAATAAGAACTATTCTGGTTTTGTTTATTTACATTGAGATTGTATCTATAGTTTACAGGTGTATATAGCAGAAAGCAGGAGCTGAGCATTTCCTATTAAAAGGGCCAGTCCACCCAAAACATATTTTAGATTCATATGGAGCCCGTCAGTCCCCTGACTTATGTTGCTTGCATACTCAAGTACCAAGATCTCCCTGTCATAATACCCAACTGTCCCTGATCCCCGGAATGTGTTCCAGCTATTTCATAGTGAAATCTAGCATGCATCTCCCATAAGGGCCACAGCAGGCATGCAGACACAGGAACTCAAGCACAGAAATCACAGCAGTAGAGTCCCTGAGATATATATTTAAAAAATGGTCAGGTGGTTCAACTCTCCAGTCACTGAAGAGCCTGAAATACCAATTTGGGCAGACTGACCCTTGAAGTTCCCTGGATTCACTGACAGCAGTGTGTACAGTGTAACAGAATTGCATTCTGTCTGTTAAATGGTAACTCTGTATGCTAGTCTATTTCCTGCAGTAAAATCATCACTTGTTAGATTATGCTTGTGCATAATCCTCAGGTTTCATCTTTTCCCAAGTTCCGTGTGAATTTCTTAAATGTTTGTGGTCACGAAGGCACTGTGAAAGCAGTATATGTGTGTTGCCACATGGGCTAGGTGAAAGCAGTGTGTGATATATTGCCACATGGGCACTGAATTCAGTGTACACATGTTGTCAGACGGGCACTGTGAATGCAGTGTTTATATGTTGCCACCTTGATCAGTGCACCATGTGGGTTCCGTTCCGTGAATGTAGTGTTTGCGTGCTACCATGTGGGCACCGTGAGAGCAGTGTAATGTTATATCTATATGAACATTCTATAGCCAAATAGTGACAGGAAGTGACTGACCCCCATCATATAAAAAGCCTGAGCAGTTTTAGTAGGGCATGGGGGACCCTTCTAAATCCTATACTAGTTTAAAAGAAGAACTCCAGGATTTTTTTTTCTCTTAATTAACCCTTTCAGTTACCCTTGAACTAACTTTCACCTCTCCATATGGATCAAAGACAGAAATAACCTGAAAAGGAACCTTCACCTCCCACATTTAAAAAATGATAAAAGTTGGCTGGAGTTTTATTTCGAAGAACGCCAGGAATCTTTATTAACCCTTGCAGTGGGGCTACCCCCGCACTGCAAGGATTAGGTGCTCGTTGGCATCTAGGTTAAAAAAAAATAAAAACAAAGATACTCAACCAAAGCAGAACCGGCTTCTTTTAAGACCGGTCTGTACAATGTCCCTACCCCTCCTCTGCAGTGGTCTAAGGTCCAGTAAATCATCACGTTTATACAGTGTGCATAAACTTGAGGATGCTAAGGGACATTCCAATGGACTGTGGGAGCGCTGTGACAGCTGGGAGCTTTGGGCAAGTATATCTTTGTTATTTTAGCACCTAGGGCACTAAAAAAAAAAATGAATGGAGTTCTTCTTTCAAATAAAACTCCAGCAAAATGTTATAATAGTTTTAAGCAGGGAAGCTTTGGATCCTCCGTTCAGGTTGTTACTTCTGTCTTTGTCCCTATGGAAAGGTGGAAGTAAAGTGAAATCTAGATTTTTACAGCAGAACAGACGCTAAGGAGAAATCTCCCAACGGGAACACCCGTTTCAATGGAAGCTGTAGAAGGCAAAATTTCCCCTCACATTTTGTTCTATATCTGGGACAAGTAAAGAACAATATGCCTAGACAAAATGAACAGCAGCAAACATATAAGAGGTTCTAACACTTCATCTACAACAAGGAAAAGTTGTTGTCTGGAGTTCCACTTTAACGAGTTAGGTAGCGAACACTACTTCTAAGCGTTCACTGTCCTGCTCTACAGCATCAATATCACAAATACAAAGCTGCAGGTAAAAAGAAAAAATCAAAACAGCATTGATGTACATTATAAAGATCTTGTTACAAACATAGTACACAAGTAGATCTGGGCTGTCAATTCACAATAAATTGGTGACATCACTATAGTAAACCACAAAGTGATTAGCACCAGATGCATGTGAGCTACATGTGGACTTGGCCAGGAACAATTGCTGTTATAGATGTGACAACAGGTACTTGTTTTATGAAAATATGCAGAACCAAAAAGGGAGCATTAAACCCAACAGAACCAAGCCTACGTTAGATAACTGGCTCTGCAAAGAATATAAGATATATTGTAAGATCTATGCTTGTTACGTGCAGTACATAACTGCATTTTGCTTTAAGTAACAATAAGAATTTGATTACTATTGGTTCAAAGAGTTCAAGTTGAATACATGTTTTCCTTGGTATATAAGTAATACAACGCATGCAGTTTTTAAGGGGGAACATCCTACTTTGGGTAGTCAGCATGAACGTTTTAGAGGCAAGGTGAAGATTTTTACTTGTAAAATCAGCCCCATAAACCATAACTGTGGTCACATAAAGGTTGCTGATGTGACAATGCTATACCATAGCAGACACTTCAGTTCATCAGCCTGATTGACAGCCCCACATAAGACACTCCAATATGAAACATTTAACCAGCTACCATGTTTAAAAATCTGGCCTCACTCCTGGCCATTGGTGAGGCAGGAGGAAGGGTGCGACTTTTGACCATGGGAGCGCTCTTAAATCTTCATACAAACTCTCCCACCCAGCTCAAGACTGTCAGCTAAACTTACATCAAAGTACCTGGAGTGCCTGCTACGTTATAGCACTGTCCCTTCTGCAACTTGTGGCTACTGGTATGCTTTACAGTTGATTGCAAAGATATCTTAACTGTCTAATGTACTCAGATTTGTCTAGCAATATCATTTATATATAGTTAGAATATTAGAAGGGGGCATATTTGATATAACAGCGATGCAGGCTCATTTAAATGGGACCTGTGAGGGTAGAAATGTGGAAGCTGGACTTGCCAACTATTAGTGTAAGGTTCCATTTTTCCCTATATTTTAGGTGAAATTAGAGATTCCTGTGTCAGGAACTTGTTTTCCTGCAGCAAGCATCCCTAATCTGATGTTTACACGCGGCAGCTGTCACCCTTTCAAGTTAATGATCTGGTGACAGCAGCTGCAATTGAATGCTGGCACACCACATGTAATCGTATGTATGCGACAGTTAGGAATCAATCACTATCCCTAGACACACAAATCGATGCATCCAGGGATAGTGATCGATTCTTAACCACATGTAATCGTATCACACGTGGTGTGCCAGCATTCAAATGCAGCTGCTGTTATTCGATTATTAACCTGAATAGGTGACAGCTACCACTTCTAAATGGCAGATTAGGGATTCCTGCTGTAGGAAAGCTGACACAGGAATCCCTAATCTCACCTAAAATATAAATGTGAATGGTAAGTTTCTAACCTGAAACAAGTATGCAGAACAGTTGAGACTTCATTAGCTACATACTAGGCCAGGTCAATAACTATGCCATAAAACCAAAATCTGGATGGCCAAACCAGAACTCGCTTTAAAAACAAGCCAGAACGGCAAAATCCACATTTCTATCCTCACAAGTTCATTTAACACTGGCAGAGGAACATATTAGCACTAAAGCACAACTCCGGGGGTCACAAAAAACTAGGCTTGCAGTGGGGTACCCCCGCGCTGCAAGGGTTAAATGCTTATTAGGTCTAGGGGGGTAGAGGAAAAGGATGCATTGCTTACCTTAATCCTTGCTCTGGCACTGTACACTTCTTCCCAACGCTACCAGTTGTGGGCGGCCTCCTGCTGTCCTCACATGCAATGATGGACTATAGGTGTTTGACCACTGCCAGGGACACCTTAAAAAAAAAAGGGGCTTCAGAGGATTTGTCACACAGATGGCAGTGGCCTTCCGGTGCAAAGAATAAGGCAAGTATTGTACCTTATTCTTCAACCCAAAGACCCAACAAGCATTTAACCCTCGCAGTGCAGGGAAGCCCCACCGCAAGTGTTCCGTTTGTTCTAGTGCCCGGAGTTGGGCTTTAAAAATAATTAGAATATATGTAATAACCGTATGAACTGGCAAAGAAATTTATCAAAAGCATTATTTAGAATATATGTGAAAGCAGTAAAAATGCATAAAGTACTAACTGTGCCCATTAGCCTAAATACTCTCCATGGCTTTAAATTCACTAAGGGCCTGCACGACATTGACATGTTTCTTCTGAGAAGCTCTCTTAATTTTTGTTTGGGTCTCGTCTTGCTTTTCTCTCTTGACCAGGGGCTTCTTCTCCGGGGCCTTCATTTTCCAGGAAACTGCAGGCATGTTTAATGCTGCCATTCCCTGGGACTTTTGATACTTTGTAGAAGCCACGTAGGAAGCTTTAACAGTTTGCACCACGGCATTCATCAAGTTCTTAGCAGCTTGTATCAGGGACATGGCACTGTCGGCTCCAGAGACAACTAACTCACCCCCAAGATTCTGAACTTCTGCTTTGACTTTGCTGCAGATGTTTAACTGGTGGCAGTATAAGGCAATACGCTGCAGATATGCCAAGAGATCTTGTTTGCAGGAAGAGTCAGGGCAGTGGTCGGCAATGGTACGGCCCAATTTGTCCATTCGCGATCCAGCCTCTGCAATCTTCTTTGCAGCGCTGATGACATCGGAAGCATTTTTAAGATGTCCCTTTCCTCTTGTAAAATCGGTCATCTCCATCATGATCATACACATCTGCTTGGCCAGAACAATGATGTCGTTGCCACTGTCGTCCCACTTGGATACCTCGGCATCCAGCTTACTTTTTTCTTCTTGGAAACTTGCAACTTGCTCTGCAATCTTTGCCTTTTGTTCCTGTGGAAGCTGAGCCATGATTGCTCTAGCACTATGCCCTGCGATGAGCTGGTCATCTTCAGTCTGAATACTGGTGTGGCTTCTCACATCGATGTCGTCCGCCTCAAAGTCAGAATCGTCCAGCTCTTCAGGCGTTCGGATCATTAAAACAGCTTTCCGGATGTCCCGAATGCCGTCGTACACAAGTCTAGAGGCATCGATAAACTCGTTCTCATCTATAGGGTGATTGGTGTCTCGGCTGAGAACATTAACGACAGATTCGACTTGCTCGCTAAAGCGCGGCATAACCGTGTCTGATAAGAGTTTAGTGGCTTCCATAACTCTTTCTGTGTAAATGCCGGCCTCGTAGTTTTCCATCTCTGAAATGACAACATGTATGACTCTGGCAGCACGGCCACGTATGACTCCCGCAGTGCGATCCAGTCCGTCTATATCTCTTTCCTGCAAAGCTATAACGCATTTGTTGACGTCTTCTAAGATGTGATTTTCTGAGACAGACAAAAAGTCATCGATGGATGTAATGTCATCGACGGCATCGGTCAGGATACAAACCTGCTTCTCCCACTGCTCTTTGAAAATGTCCATATTGTCCAAAGCCACTTTACTGTGTGGCTTGGCTGCCAAGGCCAACGCTGCATTTATGACCTGTGGGCAAAGCGCTTCAAGCTGGTTTGCAGATATTCGGACGATTTTAACTCCATCCTCATTGTTTGAGATGGAGCACGCCAGGTTTGCCACTTCGATTAACTTTGTGGCGTGCTCACGAAAAACTTGGGCGTATTCCTTAACTTCCTTCTCGTTACCGTTCTTGGCGGCCTCGATCAGAACTAGGAGGGGCACGTTGGTCTCTAAGAAGGAGTCGGAGACATGGTCCATCACCGCTTTACACAGATGTCTGCGCAGGTCTCTGGTCTTCCTGGTCATTTTATCTATGGCAGCGTTGAGCACGTCGCTCCTTTCCTTGCGCCCGGCGTTGGTCATGTATTCCGAGAGGAGATCCTGCAAGGCTTGGCGCACCAGGTTACATTCGGCCACAATGCGTTCGCGGCGGTCATCGCGGGTGCAGGTGGAGTCGGCCATTAAGGCGGCACCGCTAATAATGCTCTCTAGTCTCTCCTCTAGAGAGGGCCGGATTTTTTCTTCTGTGAAACTTATAGGCTCCACAATGATCTGTTTATCGAAGTTGTTGAGGGCGACGGCCAGCTCTCCCCCCTGTGCTGCCCCCTCCTCGGACGGGGTGGCCTGGGCTGCATTGGAGATGCTATTGACAGCCTGTTGGAGCTGCTTGTAGATCAGGTCTCTGTTGGCTCTATAGGCCGCCACATCGGGGTGCTGCAGACAGGCCTGGGAGGCTGTGTACAAAATGGGGGTGCTCTTCAGCAGGACTCCCCGGGCCGCGGCCATCTGATCCCGGTGTCCGGGGTCCTTCAGCTCCTGTTGTCGTTTAGCACTCATCGCATGTAGTTTCCCCAGCTCGGCTCTCAGCGCCTTGTATTGTATGTCCAGATCCTGCTCGGTGCCAGCATTCCTCACCCTCACGATCCCCTCCTCTACCGCCTTCAGCTGCAGCAGCAGTTTCAGCACATCGGCCATGTCCGCCAGGATGAGGAGCCGGGTGACGGCGGACAGGAGGCTTCGGGCGGCCCGGACCACGTTCCCCCTCTTTACCGAGGAGCACGGGTCATCGGCGAAGTCCCCGGAGGCCGCCCTCATCTGCTCGCCCTGAGTGCGGACCTCGTCCACGGCGGCGGTCAGCTCGTCCCGCAGGAATTGGCTCTCCCGAGCGATCTTGTCACCTTTCTCCAGGAAGGTCTGGGTAGCTTGTTCCACGGAGGCGGCCAGGACCCGGGCCCGCTTGGAGCGGCCCTTCTTCTTCCCCGAGGGCCCTTTGTTACTGGTATTCACCAGGGTGGTGACCTGACTGACCAGAGGCTCCAGCAGGCGCTCCACGGCCAGGGTCCGAATCTCCAGGCTCTTCGGGTTCCATTGTAGGTTAATGTTGGCCGTATTGAGGTTCATGGTGCCCCCCGGAGGATTCATGGAAAGCGGCGGCTGGGAAATGAACGCGATCCAGCCGGAGGATGAAGGATGACGAACGGCCTCTCCCTGCTGCCTGTTATTGGTTAGTGCGTGGGGAAACTTCCGGCTCACCTACAACTTCCGGTCTCCCTTCCCCCACTTTTACCTACAACATCCGGGATCCTCCCTATCATCTCCCTCCCATCCCTCACCTAAAACATCCTTCCTCCACTTTACCTACGACATCCGGCATCCTCCCTATTATCTCCCTCCCATCCCTCACCTAAAACATCAATCTTCCCTTCACCCACGACATCCGGCCTCCTCCCTATCATCTCCCTCCCATCCCTCACCTAAATCGTCAATCCTCCCTTCTCTCACCTTACCCACAACATCCGGCATCCTTTCCTACCCCACGTCACTCAGCAATCTCACCCCCAACCTCACCTACATCCGTCCTCCCTTCCCCCACCTCACCTAGAGCATCTATCCTCCCTTCCCCCACCTCACCTACATCTGTCATCCACCTAACCTAGAGCATCTATCCTCCCATCCCCAACCTTAGCTACATCCGTCCTCCTTTCCCCCACCTCACCTACATCTGTCATCCACCTCACCTAGAGCATCCGTCCCCCCACCTCACCTAGAGCATCCGTCCCCCCACCTCACCTACACCCTAGGCCAATGTAGTTGGATCTGTATGTGCGTTATAATTAATCAATTAATCGATTCAAAAAAATTCGATTAATCGAACACAAAAACTGTAATCATTACCAGCCCTAATATCCATCCTTCCTTCCCCCACCTAGTGTATCCATCCTCCTTTTCCCTCCATCACCACCTACTTCATCTGTGTGACATGCCGCCACACATGTGCGTTGGAGGTTTGTTGCGTCAGTGCGTTGGAGGTTTGTTGCTTCAGTGCGTTGGGATGATGTGTTTTAGGTGCCGTGCTGGAAAAAAGCAGAAGTCCAGGAATCGTTTTATGAACCCTTGCAGTGGGGCTGCAAGGGTTAAGCGCTGGTTTGTGTCTAGGTGCTAAAATAACAAAGTTCTAGTCACCCAAAGCTCTGAGCCGGCCAGCTGTCACAGCGCTTCCTCCAGCCTGTCTCCTCCTCTGCAGCAGCAATGGAATGTCCCTCAGCATCCTCACCTCTTTACACTGTATACAGATGTGATGACTTACTGGGCCTTAGACCACTGCAGAGGAGGGGGAGAGACATTGCAGGGACCGGTCTAGAAGAAGCCGGCTCAGAGCTTCGGGTGAGTAATAGACACAAGCGAGCAGTTAACCCTTGCTGTGCAGTGGTAGCCTCACTGTAAGGGGGAGGGGGGTAAAACAATTCCTGGACTACTTTAATAAATCCTGCTTGCTGCATCTTTCATCAAAACACATTATATGGAGTTCAATGGTAACGCATGTAAAACGCACAGCTGTGAACCGGCCTCATTCACACGGCTGGAGTCTGTACAAACCAATGACTGGTGGACACTGTCCATGGCTGATCATGTGTCATGTTTCTGGGGGCACTTATCAGTCCCTGACCACACATATTCACGCCATGTGTCATTACATACAGACAGCTGCTGAAACCCCCACCGCAGAGATACACTGATCAGGGTGGTGTATGGCAATGGCCTGCCCTGTGAACCCGCACCGCAGAGATACACTGATCAGGGTGGTGTATGGCAATGGCCTGCCCTGTGAACCCGCACCGCAGAGATACACTGATCAGGGTGGTGTATGGCAATGGCCTGCCCTGTGAACCCGCACCACAGAGATACACTGAGCAGGGTGGTGTATGGCAATGGCCTGCCCTGTGAACCCGCACCACAGAGATACACTGGGGTGGTGTATGGCAATAGCCAGCCCTGTGAACCCGCACCACAGGGATACACTGATCAGGGTGGTGTTTGGCAATGGCCTGCCCTGTGAACCCGCACCACAGAGATACACTGAGCAGGGTGGTGTATGGCAATGGCCTGCCCTGTGAACCCGCACCACAGAGATACACTGGGGTGGTGTATAGCAATGGCCAGCCCTGTGAACCTGAACCAGAGATACACTGAGCAGGGTGGTGTATGGCAATGGCCTGCCCTGTGAACCCGCACCACAGAGATACAGTGAGCAGGGTGGTGTATGGCAATGGCCAGCCCTGTGAACCCGCACCGCAGAGATACACTGAGCAGGGTGGTGTATGGCAATGGCCAGCCCTGTGAACCCGCACCACAGAGATACACTGATCAGGGTGGTGTATGGCAATGGCCTGCCCTGTGAACCCGCACCACAGAGATACACTGAGCAGGGTGGTGTATGGCAATGGCCAGCCCTGTGAACCCCCACCGCAGAGGTACACTGAGCAGGGGGTTGTATGGCAATGGCCAGCCCTGTGAACCCTCACAGCAGGGATACACTGAGCAGGGTGGTGTATGTCAATGGCCAGCCCTGTGAACCCCCACCGCAGAGATACACTGAGCAGGGGGGTGTATGGCAATGGCCGGCACTGTGAATGAGACCTAATAGTATAGATAGCAAAGTAGAAATGGGCCCTCAATAAGTATAAATCTACAACTTTTATTGAAATAATGGCTAGTGATCCTTCCAGGAAGGTCCTTATTCAGCCACTTCCTGTACTGGAGTGACAACACTCTGTTCCTGTCCCAATTGTTCTCCTGAGTTGTCACCTCACTGAAAGTATCATTTCAGCACACATTGACATGACTGAAGTCCGCTATACTCCCCACCTCATGTAGATGGGAAGTGGCTGTAAAGAGGCTGCAGGAGTAGAGAGGAGGTGAGCCCCGTTGGTTCTAAATGGACAGCTCCTGACAATTTGTATCCGATTTCTAATTTTTTTAAACCAAAATTCTTTGCCTCACCCTCAAACTGTGGTCAGCAGGCTTAGAAAGTCCAATAAGGGGGTACCTGGATAAGCCGACAACCTCGCTATAGTGTCCGTGTATCTGAAGCTGCTGTGAGCAGAGATGAGACTCTGTATAGGGAGAGATCAGGTCAGTGCACAAACCATGCTTTACGTCTGTGAATCGCACTGGTGACCCTCCCCCTCCATTTCTTTAAACCCAAAAGTCCTTAGTAGGACTATTGTCTGTGTCAACCACAAGTTTGATTGCTAGCTCTTGGACAGTTGCCCCATTTTCTGCCTCTCCTGTTCCTATTATTTTTGTCTGTCATTTTAGTTGTAGGTTCCCTATTAGCCCTCAAACAATCTAACATGATTTCCCCCCATAGACATCTGTGGGATCTGAGCTGCCAATCAAACCTGAGCACATTCCATCATCACTTTGTAGGAGATCAGCCCCGCTGGGATGCAACAGAAGATGACATCATTATGATACAAAGTGCTTGAGCACATGAAATGTCACCCAGTTGGGGTTACATCTAAGGAGCGGGGCTGGTTGCTATTGGTGGACTCAGCTTTTTTATTGGACTAGTATTTGAAGATATAGCAGTAGGATGGTATTGTACTGTGTCAGCCATGGGTGTAATAAGGGAAGTGTAGCATTTATGGGCCTGATGTATAAGTCTTTCACCCAGCGTATAGCTGGGCGGATGCCATTCACATGGCACTATCCCCACTAGATGGCGCTGGGGAGCATAGGAAATCCCCATTCTCAGTGCCATCTAGTGGTGTTGCTCGAACAGCATCCGCCCAGTGTTCTATTTGTGTTTAGGGATGGGAAGACAGATACTGGTGCTGGCCGAACATAAAAGAGAAACAATAGTAATTAGAACAGGTCTTCTAACAGAGCCTTTTTCAACCAGCGTGCCGTGGCACCTTCTGGCTTCCTCAGGGGTATCTTAACATTTTCATGCAGTATCATATTGTTTTTGCCTCTGTTCAGGAATGCTCTACTTCCCGCTGTCTGCCATGTTGCCTCAGCTGTGTCACCCAATGTAATAGTAGGTCTCTCATGTGAGGAGGGGGCTGAGGACTCTGATGTAAAGAGGGCTCCTGATGTGCAAGGGGGGCTTCTGGTGTAAATGGTAGACTGTGATGGGGGGGCTGATATAAATGGTAGACTGTGATATGGAGAGGGCCTCTGATGTGAAAGAGAGACTTTGATGTGAAGGGAGGTTCCTAGTGTAAGAGGGGGGACTCTGATGTGAAAGGAGTGTGCTCCTGATGTGAAAGGGCATGTCTGATAACATTAGCGATAAACTGTTTAAAATTAACTCCGTTACAAAAACTAGAGGCCACCACCTAAAATTGGTGGAAAAAAAATTCCAGCACAAGGGGCGAAGGGGGTTCTTCACAGTTAGATCAGTTAGGGTCTGGAACTCACTGCCACAGGCGGTGATTTCAGCAAATAATGTGGAATTGTTCAAGAAACTTTTGGACGATTTCTTAAGGGACCGTAATATACAGGGGTACAGGTAATATACAGGGGTACAGGTACTCCTAGAATGAGATCCTAATAGGTTGGACTTGATGGACTAATGTCTTTATTCAACCTCAAATACTATGTAACTATGTAACTGCAAGTTTCAAAATAGGGATGCACCAATACTAGTATCGGTATCGGTGCCGAAACCGAGTATTTGGGCGGGTACTCGTTCTCGCCCAAATGCTCCGATACCTTCCCCGTTACCGGAACTTCCAGTCAGAGGAAGATTTCCTCTGACTGCCAGTGCCGCAGGGAAACATGAAACCAGCTTCCCATGTTATCAGGAAGCTGGGCGGCGAGTAATGATCCGCCTCCTGGCTTCCTGATTGGCTGAATCAGCATGGAGCCAGCTTCCCGGCCAATTAGGAAGCCGGGAGGGGGGTCATTACTCGCCGCCCGGCTTCCTAATTGGCCTGATATTCGGTATCGGCAAGTACCGAAAGCAAAATATTGGTATTTGTACTCGAGGTTAAGGATTATTGACATTCCTAATGAGTTGTTTCCTCCTAAAAAAAATAAAATAAATGCTGTCCATGTAAAAAAATGCCCCTGTCCTCTCCCATTTACAGACTGCTGGCTACCTCCCGCTTAATTTCCATTT